TAACTAGTAAATACAACATTCAAACATGCACACTTTCTTTTATACAGTGTGATTAGTTTGTCATTTAAGTATGTGAATATGATCTAAATAACTTAACTGTTAAATAGTTTATTGAGAACTGAGAATTCTACCTTGTTTGATTTAGCTATACTGACTCGATAAATGTGTGAATGACTATTCGGAGTTTGAAACGATCGAAGCTGAGTTGAAATATCATTGAGAACAGAGTCTGTAACTGAGATATAAGAAGTTTAAGGGGACAAGTGTCACAACACCCGCACTACGTTTCAGACTGGCTAGTAAGGCTGCCCAGATTGCACAACAAATGAGAAGATATCGCAAGAGAGACTTTCGGCATCTGAGGAAGCGAATGGAGTGGATGTAAACGGACTATATAAATTTTTAACTAAAGTCAGCAATCTACTCCAGTCACCCACACGAAAACCATGAGCGCATTGCCTATGTGTGCCTTCCACCATGTCACCAAAATCATCGAGAGCTCTCTTGAAATGAAAACCGATCTCCTCCAGGCTGATGACAGCAGGATCCAACTCGAAAGGAAGGAAATTTACAACTGCACAATGATAAACACCTACCAGCAGGGCAAACGAAGAGTAACACGAGGACTTCTACAAACAAACAGCTGTAAACAATAATGGACGAAAAGTCAACGAGAATGTGACATCGAAATTCTGATGGGTGATGTGAATTCCAGTCAAACTGAGATAATAAAATATAAGAAGATAACTCATCATGCATCAGGAGGATCTCAGTGAAGTTAATGATAACGGAGAACTGTTTGCACACTTCTGCTTCTCCAGTGATTTGATGACTGCAAGTAGAGTATGCAAGCACAAGAATATACACAAGGCAATATGAGTTTGACCAGATGGGCACACTGGAAATTAGACAGGCTTCATCTCAAACTCAAGAAACTGGAGACCTATGAGAAAGATGGACCAAATACAATACTACGAAGCAGCCAACTTTCTAACCCATCTTTTAAGAGGTCATCAACAGAGTGACCTGTCAGGTCCCGGTCAACAAATGCTACTTTGTCGTTGTTGTCGGGCTTGAATACAGCAGTGACACAACAAGCTACACTGACTGGGACTTATGTTTCTGCAGGCAATACCATATCAGGAAGGTTGTTTAGATAGACGTTAGACTAAAAGCAGTTACTATGGAGTACATGGGCTCCACAATCCAATCGGATCAAACGGTGTGTGAACCTGCACTGGTCACCGGCGACCATCAGAACGTGGCTCCTTTGCCTTGCTGATTAGACTTCAAGTGAAAGGCTCGGGGAGTGGTCCTTTAGGACAACGTCCGGTTTCGGTCTGAACGCTTGGACAGTATCTCAGCCGAAACACAATCAATGAAATGAAACAACGAACTATCAGTGAAACTAATAGCATGTTCTTTCCAATACTCTCGAACACTAATGATATTTCAAGTGATGCATTTATTTTTAACGCTATTTTTGTACATAAGCTTCGGTGTTTTGCTTTTGTTATCTTTGGTGTCTTCATTTTCGTCAGCCATTTTCTTTTGTCGAATTCTCAGTCTATCTATGCCGCTTCGAGATATCGGTGGACAGCCTTCAAAATAGTGGTCCCGAGTGAAACATTTAACATAGGTATCCTGAAACCGCACGTTGCGTTCAGGCTAGCCACCTACAATGTTCGCACACTCACGCAAACTGGACAACAGGCAAGTTTGGCAAGAACACTTGAAAGCTTCCCTATGTATGTCTGCTGCATTCCAGAGACCCACATTCAGGATCCCAGTGAAATGCTTCGACTCTCCTCTCCAACTGAAAGTACGAATAGTATGTACCACCTGCGTTTATGCGGGTACCCTGTGGCGTCGACATCCGGCTTAGCTAGTGCTGGTGTCGCACTAAGTGCTCGAGCCGAAGCTGCATTACTCGACTGGATCCCCACTAAAGGTCGTTTATACGCTGTCAGGCTGGAAGTCTATACGAAAGTAAGAAGTGGTAGGCCACATAGGCTACGGTTATTTGTTGTCTCTGCCTATGCACCAATGGATTGTAGGCCGGATGCAATTAGGGAGGAGTTCTTCTACCAAGTGAACGATCTCTTGAAACAGGCTCGTTGGAGGGATATCGTAGTACTGCCTGGGGACTTGAATGCACAGATCAGGCGTCTAAGCTAAGGGGACAATCGTCTAGGTGGTCAGTGAGGCTAACATGGTCGCAGGCCAGATAATGGGGACTGTCTTCTGCAGCTTTGAGCAGATCACAACCTATTTCTAGCCAGCACCAACTCACTGCAAAGCCATCGCTATAGCGCTACCTGGTGCCCTCCCCCTGTGAATCAAGCTTGTACCCAGATTGATCATGTCGTTGTCAGTTTCTGGTGACGAGGACACATACAGCACTGCCACTCCTTTTGGAGCACATGGCTGGACTTCGATTATGCGTTAGTGAGTGCTACGTTCGTCTTGCGATTTGCTGGGGTTCATAAATGACGTCATCTGAATATTGATATGAGCAAACTGGTAGCACCTGCTGCCTCTTTGAAACACCAGAATGAGTTGCAATCAAAGCTTGCTGGCAACCCCCGAAGTAGTAAAGATGAATATTGGCTTCATCTGTAAGGTGCCACGCAAAAGACGAGTGTAGCCATTTGCAGCTTAAAAGAATGCTCCACTAAAAAGCACTACGTTTCTGCGAGTTCCTTGTAACTCCTGGATGAACGCCGGTCCATTCTCGCTGGCAGCAAATACAATAATATACGAAAGGTGCTTACGCGCAAGATTAGACAGTGTTTACGCAAAGACCGTGAAGCCTGGTGGTCAGAACGTGCATGTGAGATGGAGTCAACTGCTTCTTCTGACAACAGTTGGGAGCGATTCTAGTTTACTTGAGCCATCAGCAGCAAGAATCAAGGTGTTAGCGATACGGTCTATGAGGTAGTTGGCCCACCAATTACCAGCCTGGAACGCTGGACAGGAAGGTATGGGAAAATGAAGGTGTTCCATCTATGTGGAATGACGCCATCATCCTCTTCATCTTTAAAAAGTGTTGACGTAACACGTACGACAGTCGTAAGGGTATTAGTTCGCTACCAGTTGCGTCTAAAATATTGGCTGCTGTTTTGCTTCGCAGGCTGTGCAAAACACGTGAGGGATTGATTCGCGAAGAGCAGGCTGGATTTTATTCAGGCAGTAGGCGCATTGATCATGTGTTCACTCCTCATCAGTTTTTGGAATACCGTCACACGTACTGCAGGTCAATAATCGTTGTGTTTATTGATTATAGGGCTGCCTCTAATTTGCTGGATATAACTGTCTTTTAGACAGGGGTTTACCTGTGAACATCCTGAAAGCTCTATACAGAAATACTTCAGATAGAGTGAGGGCACACAACCGACTATCACCACTGTTCCCAAACAACATTGGGTTTAGACAGGGTTGCACGATGTCTCCATTTCTCTTTAACTTTGCCACCGATGACATTCTGGAGTCAACTCTGAAGGACGTGCGTGATGCGGCGTAGACCTGCTTCTCGGAGAGAAACTTTTCTACCTCTAGTATGCAGGTGATATCGTCTTACTGTGCGAAAGCATGCAGGCTGCCCAAATCGCACATTATCAGTCAATGATCAGTGTGTTGTGACCTTTCAACCATCTAAGTGCAAGGTAATGTTACAAGATTGGCAGGAGGCTGTACCCACGCTTATTCTTGCAGGTGAACCGCTTGAAGTTGTTGGTAAGTTCGTATATGTGGGCAGCTGTGTGAGTGCTGGCGGTGTGACGGATGAGATTCCCAACGGTATCATGAAAATTAGGGGTGGCACACGCCAATTTGAGCCACCTCTGGCACTATCGCGATGTAAGCCTAGTTGTCAAAGGTCGGGTTTACAATGCTTCGGTGACTGCTGTCTTGCTCTATGCCTGTGAAACCTAGCCTATCCGAGCTGAGGATGTGCAGCAACTCTGAGTATTCGATCATCGCTGGCTCCGCAGAATTGCTTGCGTTCGATGACATCATCGCGTGAGTAATTCTGAGGTCCAGCGACGTGTATTTGGACACAGAGGAGACCACCATTCGTTGAGTGTTGTCATCTGGAAACACCGGCTTCGGTGGCTTGGACATGTGTTGCGAATGTCATCCCAGAGGCTTCCGTACAGGTCTCTGTTCGTTAGTCCTGTGACAGGATGGGAAGAGTGGAGAGGTCGTCAGCCCATGACGTAGCGTCGTGGAATGAATGATATTTGTGCTAGATTAGCATCGGTTGGTGCCTCACGACTCCCTGGTTGGAGTCCGAGAGATAGCTCGAATCTGTGGTTCAAAACGTTATCGGATATAGCCAAGAATCGCAGTTAATGGCGAACGTACTGCAATTTCCTTCTTTCTTCCCTTTCCGACGATAATTAACGAATGCTTTTTGAACTTGTTAAATATGACTGTTTTCCTTCTAGGACGAAGTACTTTATCAGTTGTCTACCTACATTTTTACTTTGGTTCGAAGTTGTTTTATTATTATTGTGTGGCGCGTCTTCTTGGTACTATATTATACCAAGCTTTCTGTGTCTAAATAAATAAAAATGAATAATGAACTATGAGGTTATTTGGAAACTACTTTAACACTATAGAGTTTAGTAATCACAAGCAGTGATAAGCGTCATTCAATAGTTATGCGATGATGCCACATGCCATGTAATTCACAAGGGAAAGTTCACCGAAACTTCTGAATTGAAGACAGTAGTAAGACGAAATCACTTACTACCATCGATGATTTGCCTGATAATAGCAGACTGAATCCTTCGACAGTCAACGTTGGGCGTGAAAAGACAAACATACGTTGCACTGACTAAAAGACTCTAGAAAGTCTGAATTTCCCAGATGAGATGTATACCTTGATGTGTTGTACAAACCAAAGTAAGTACAAATGTGTGAAGTAGAATAACGTGGAAGAAATTATCGTAAAACTAAAAGTCAACTTTTTGCACTTTATTGTTTATTACCTGTATACCAAATTTATCAAACAGGCTGTATAAAATTATTACATAGAAAAAAAGACCCCCCAATAGAAAGAATATGGTATATATATTTACAACATTTTTTTTCTCTCGAATAACACAAAAATGTACTTCATCATGCGTATGAAAAAAAAAAAAAACAGGGAAAAACAAAACAGCAGTCCACAAAAAAATATGATTCAATTGAAGATTATTATGGTTTTATTTTAACAAATAATCCTAATGATGGATCAGTTATATGCCATCGTGATGATTCTAAGAAGTTGAACACTTCGTCTAAATCATCTACATGTCGAGGACGATCACAAGCGGAAGACAGGACATAAGGATCTGGTGGATAGAAAAAAGAAATAAGATATTATTCAAAAATATAATGAAAGCAGATATGACATAGCATAAACTAGAAGAGTTATACTGTGGCTCGGTGGTCAGTTTAGTGGAAGAATAGTCGCCAGCAACGACGAAGGTTTGGGTTCGATTCCTAGCTAAACCTAAACTAGCCGTTAGTAAGGCTGCAAATGAGAAAAGGTTGGGCGTGAGGCTAGTGACCCCACCCTGTAAAACAGCTCAGACACTAGTTACCGTCAGTGCACCTTGGTCAGTACCAAAATATAAAAATGGCAAATATTCCAGAAAAAAGATTTGTGAAAACCAGTATCGTTAAAGGCTGAGTAATCGACGATTGCATGCGTGGAAACTAAAGGTATCAGCGTCCTCGTTTCGATACTCTAACACTTACGTCTTTAGAATTAGTACGCTAAGGATCAATATTAGTGTTTATCCCTTGGATTCCTAGTATAATATAGAGCTTCAGCAGAACATGGCTTAATTGTCAACGCTATGGAAGGTTTTTCAAAAGTTTGGAGTATTGCATTTGGTCCACCTGTCACATAGGTCTACACTTTCTTGAGTTTGAAATGAATTCTATCTGATTTCCGGTGTGTCCATCTGGTCAAACTCATATTGCCTTGTGTATATTCTTGTGCTTGCATACTCTACTTGCAGTCATCAAATCACTGGAGAAGCAGAAGTGTGCAAACAGTTCTCCGTTATCATTGACTTCACTGAGAGCCTTGTCGTGCATGATGATTTATCTTCCAATATTTCGTTATCTCAGTTTGACTGGAACTCACATCGCCCATTAAAATTTCGATGTCACCATCTCACTTGGATCTTGTCCATCACTGTTTACAGCTGTTTGTTTGTAGAAGTCCTCGTGTTGCTCTCCGTTTGCGCTGTTGGTAGGTGTGTATCATTGTGCAGTTGTAAATTTCCTTCCTCCTGAGATGGATCTTGCTGTCATCATCCTGGAGGAGATCGGTTTCCATTGCATGAGAGCTCTCGATGATTTCGGTGACATGGTGAAAGGCACACCTTCCTCAGTGTGCTCGTGGTTTTCAGGTGGGTGACTGGAGTAGATTATTGACTTTAGTTAACGATTTGGATAGTCCGTTCACATCCACTCCATTTGGTTCCACAGATACCGAAAGTCTCTCGTGCAATATCTTATTCTGATTTGTTGTGCAACGTGAGCAGCCTTATTAGCCAGTCTGAAACGTATCGGGGGTGTTGTGACACATGTCCCCTTAACCTTCGTATATCTCAGTCAGTAAGAGACCCTGTTATCAATGATATTTCAACTCAGCTTCGATCGTTTCAAACTCCAAATAGTCATTCACACATCTATCGAGCTGGCATAGCTAAATCAAACAAGGTAGAATTCTCAATTTTCAATAAACTATTTAATAGTTAAGTTATTTAGATCATATTCACATACTTAAATGACAACCTAATCACACTGTATAAAAGAAAGTGTGTATGCATGAATGTTCTATTTACTGGTTATCTGAAACTCTACTATCAGTTCTGTGGGTGTTATTGTGTGAGTAGCATAGTTTTCCTTGAACATTTATTACTTCGCTTCACTGTCAACGAGTAAGATTGGTTTGGTCTGCTAATAATAATAACATGAAGTTCAATCCAACCTTATTGTTCAAATAACCACAGTTAACTGCACAAATATACTTGTATAATGGTGTCTATTTCATATGATTTAGACCTAATCGGTTACTTTAATGATATATACTGTGAAAAAAGGTTGGTCGAGGCTTTATTCCTTCCACTGTTTTGTAAAATATTCTCTTATTATCTAGGCAATATTTCATTTTCGAATTTCTCACTATCATTACACTGCATTCAACCAAATATCTTTCTGAGGATAACAGAAGATTACTAAGCTTTTAAGAGTAATGCTGTTAGTGTGTAAGAATTTGTGCATTCCATCAGAATGTAATTTTGAAACTAGATCAGTTTATTTGAGATTTAAAAAACAAGCACAGTGATACAGTATTAGTAAGCAGAAAGCATTTCGTGTACAATTTATTCCTCATGGAATCATATCAATGTATTCACAACACACGGCCTCTTAATTTCCTTCAATGTGGTTCACAACATCACAAACTGTCAGAATCTGGGCAAACTCTTTTCTAAGTGCAACGAGTAGTCATGCAAGTCAATATACTTAAGGTTGTCAGCACCTTACATATATTGAATATGACAAACTATATTCGGATACTATGTCAAATAAAGTAACCGAAATTCTGGCTTTATATGAAACGTATACAGAACCTAAATGTCATCAGTTGCTCAACTTTATTTGACCATCTGCAAAATTTCCACTTCGAGAACCGATGGATATACAACTGACAGTCATGACAGATACACCATTAACTCTACGGACAGAAAGTGCATCATTCCACGGGAAAGCAGTCTAAAGTTTCATATCCTCTTCTGCCCAATGGTGCTGTTGCGACTGGGAAGGATCTTGAAACACTAAAGCAACTTATCATAGTTTCTGCATATACAATGACTCACTGTATCTCGGATGAGGTAAAGAAGGAGTTCTACAACTTACTACGAAAAGTCGAACGCCCAATGTGGTCACCGTGATGATATATATATATATATATATATATATATATATGTATATGGGAAAAAAGCTTCTAGCTATTCTACACGTCTTTTTGGTGAGCTAGTGTGAATCGAAGAGAAAGCTAGCCTTATAATATAAGGTCCCATGTTATGCCTGATACGTGTCTGAAGATTACGTTGAAGAAGTAATAACCTGTTGGTCGAAAATAATTCTAACAAGTAGATTGACCACTGATGAAACAGATACTACGTTCACGGAACATACACATCGGATCATAGGAATTATTAAAAAGACGGTTACAGCGAAGAGAGTTTTCTTTTCGACGAAGTCATCAACTAGGCTGTACATTCGTGTATTTATATTACATGTGTGAGAAAGTTCCAGAATTATCTCCGGTCAGAGATCAGACTAATATAATTAATAAGTGTAATAAACAGAAGATAGGTAGTGGCACTATTCTAGAAATATTTCAGGTCATAGGTCAAATTAAAAATTCCAATGTGTAATAATCAGGAAGATCGGGTAGAAAAGGCAAAATAGGATTTTAATTACTGGAAAGCTCATCAGTTTGTATAACTACAGGTTAAGGAGGTAGTATTAACAAAATGGGTAGGAGGTTCCGACATATGAAGATAAAAACAGTAATCGAATCTAATAATGCAGATAGGGATTTAAAAAAAAGGTAAATATGACAGAAATAAATGGGAAGGTTGGACAAGGAAGGTAATAGAATAATCATTATTGGTGAGACTGGCTTTTCATGATGACCACGGTAGAGCAACGGTTGGACGTATTTCTTTTGTACACATAGAGTCGGGTTGAGTTTTTGTTACACCAGTGCCTCAGCTATTCCTAGATGTCTTGATTTCACTCCCTTTGGTAGGTTGGATCGGATTTTATATGTGGCTTTAAAGGATTTTTCAAACGAGGCTGAATGTCCAGAATTTACCAAATGCTCTGTTATCTAACTGTGTACCCCTTTACGTTCTCCCTTTGCTGGCTACGTTGAAGATCTAATCTCAGTAAATTATCACTAACGTACTTAGTGTGTGACTTCAATGTCTAATACTCTTGACTCAATACAGTTCATTGTATCTATGTGAATCTAGTTTATCTAACAAATAATATTCATTTGCGATGAAATCTAATTTCTTGTTATTTACACTAGTCTTATCAACCTCAATCAACAGCTCACTATATGACAATGCCGCATTTCAGATGGTCCACAACAGAAAACTCAGAGAAGCTTTTAAAGTGAAGACAATAGTAGTAAGACAAGGCTGTCTACTACTATCATCGATGAGATTTTTTCAAATTCTAGTGGACTGGATCATGTGCCAGAGGTTGGAGAGTGAGAAGACAGGAATACCCTAGGCTGATTAGAAGACTCTAGAAGATCTGAACTTTACGGATGATTTGTCCCTAAGGCTACACACAAACTCGAAGACCTACAGACTAAAAGCCAACAAGTTGGTAGAAGAAGCGAAGACAAGAATTCAAGGGAATATAGAGAAGACATTGACAACAACAAGCACCGATCACTATCAACGGAAGACATTTTGAAGGAGGTCACTTCCTTCAATTATCTAGAGAACATCATCAGATGTCAAAGCCAAGCACGACCATAAAAAAACAGGACAGACCTTCATTACTTTGGAATCTGTGTAAAAATCCATTGTAGTTAGCATAAAGAACAAGAATCGGATTTTCAACACTAATGTGATAGCAGTCAATACTTCTATGTGGTCCAGGGATTTATTGTGTCACAGGAGGCATTTCTAACAGTTTAATGCCAACTTCCAGCAACGACTACCTTCGCTCCAGTATGGAGCGAAAATATATTATTATTGTTTCCTTTAATTCCTAGAGGAACATAGGGCTTCAGCCGTGCGTCTCCATTGCGTTCGGTTCTCTGCTAGAGTCTTCACCTGGCTCCATGTCTGCCCACACGTTTTCATCTCCTCTTCACACGACCTCCTCCAAGTCATCCTTGCACTGACGACCAATTCACCGCTTCCCTTTCGGGTTCCACTCGAGCAATGGCTTGTCTAGTGATGTCACTTGATGGTTTGTTTCCTCAGAGTATGGCCAATCCATCTCCATTTCTTCCTGCCTATTTGTTGCACAATCGGTTCCTGGTCGGTTCGCTCCTAGAGGTCCCAATTGCTGGTCCTTTCTGGCCGTCCATCTGATCTTGAGTGGTATTGAGCGAAGACAACTGTTAATGAAGGTCTGTAGTTTGTTTGAGATGCTCTTTATGACGCGCAGTGCAAGTCTCTGATCCGTATAGTAGCACTGACTTCACATTGGAGTTGAAAATCCGGATAAGCAACAAGAAACTCTGGAAGTGGTGAACCAACCAACAACCTACCACCTAACCAGTAGGCCAAAATAAATGGAAATGGACCGCACACACACACTGAGGAGACCACCGTTGAGTGACATCATCCACCAGGCTCTCGAGTGCAACCTGAAAAGGAAACGAGTTGAGCATTCAAGCCTGACATGAAGGAGATCGTGTGAGGAGGAGATGTGAGCTTATAGGCAATGGTGAAGCCAACCAAAAAGAGAACTGCAAAGAAAAGGACGAAGTCGAGATGTGCTGTTGAAGCCCTATGTTCTACTCAAGATCCAACAGGATAATAATATCTGAATGAGAAAGAAAATCAACTACAATAAGAAAAAGAATATTCATGAAAGCGCTACTCCACTTGACAGTTTATCACATTACCTGGAGCATATTCTTGAGAGCCACCGCCTTGCTGAAGCGCTCTAGCATACAAGTGTGAGGCAGCAGCATCGACAAATGCATGCTGTTGTACAGTAGCATCGCCTACAAGTGTGCCACCGCCTGCTATAGATGTTATCCCAGAATTTGCCAGGTCACCTGTAGTGGAAGATTCGCTAGAGTAAAACTGAGCTGCGTACTGAGATGCGTAATACTGCTGGTAGTATTGTTGGTAGGCTTGGTAGTATTCCGCTTGAGCGGCTGAATTTCCAGTCACAGCAGCGGCAACTGCAGCAGTGAACGGGTCAGGCATACCTAGAAAATACGAGAAAGAAGCAAAACACTGTACAATATGCAAAATTCATGAATTTGCAGAAAAATACAGACGTAGGTAAACAGTACCAAGAAAGCACCTACTTTTACTTTACAGTAGGCTAAGTTGCAATAATTCATATCTGCACATCAAGCAGAAGGCCAATGCAAAGGAAGTAATTCAGTCAAGGATCACTTACTAATGTAACACCTCTCAACCGATGGAGTAAAATGTCGTCTACACACGCTTAGTGCTGAGAGTCTATCCTAAAGGATCTGTCGGAAAGCGACTACTTGACCGATACACCTTCAGCCTGGTTTGAAAAGATTTTTTACCATTTGTCTGAGATTAGGTGTAATATGAACTGAAACTAGTACTGTTGAGACTATGCATGCAAGGCTAACCCCTCCGAGGTCCCAGTAGGAAAGCTATTATTCCTTATCCAAGAGTGATACGGGTCAAATGCCATTATTTCCAGCTAGTAAACATCGAGAAGACCATTTGGCTTTATTATCCTTGATTTTCTTAGTTTCCCTACTCTTTTCCCAACTTCTGCAGATTATTAGGGTCCCATCTCACAACCACTTATTCATCAGCTGAATAGACAGCGATTAAAGAGTAGCTCAAGGTCAGTAGAACTGCTCCTTACAGCTTTTTATCAACCTTTCCAATAGGCTTCCTGGTAAGTGAAATACTGACTTATCTTTCTTCCTTATAGTCTCGCTAACTCTGAATAGTTGTCAGTTATCAGTTTTTAGTCTCCTTCACTGTTCATATTCCTTATGTAAACCATTTATTTGAATATCAATGAGATGCTCACTAGCGACTTGCCCTATTCAGGTAGGTGGTTACCTGGGGTTCTAGTGAGAAGTCGTGACCAGTAGGGTGCAGCAGGTCAGGTATGAGGACAAATACTCTCCGAAGACATTGGCTAGGGGTCGTGCTATGTCGTGAATTGGCAGAAGTTGGAATTCATGGGCTGGCCATTGGATCGGGTCCCAGTGGCTTAATGGTATACGAGTTCGCCTTGTAACCAGAAGGTCCTGGGTTCGAACCCCGGTGGGTGCGTACTGATGAAGAGTCCCAAACCAGGACGAAACAGATGTCAAGTACTCCCAGGTTTTCCAATGGTTCTCTAACTAATGTCAGCTCATGATGAAAATCCTGTAACCAATCAAATCCCTACAAACCAACACTTGAATATTCTTGCACTTCTTTGTGCTTAAAATCTTCAGGGAATGGATTTTCCTGGATCTATTAGTTCAAACTAATGTGCCCGAGATTTTTTCGCTCTTTCAAACCGTTTTCTAAGGAAAAGAAGCAGACTTCTTCACAACGAGTTAAACTTTCAATTGTCCAGTCTTAATATCTTCAGTATTAATCTAAGTTCATATAGTTTTTCCAATCATCCTCCTTTTACATCCATCGATCAAGGTATGGTCATAATTCAAGCACATGCTTTAAAGGTAACAGCAGTCATCCACTCAATCCATCAGAAGTTAATATTTGGCAATATGGTTCATTTTAGTCCTCTGTCCATATATTTGAAACTAAGTGTCTAGGAACACATAGTTATTTAAACACAATTGTAATAAAAACCCATATTTTTATTATAGGTTCTTTGAGATAGGACTGTGAAGCTCATACCTAAAAGCTTTTCTGTCTAAGTTAACTAACTAACTAACTACTTTTACTACTTGTGCACTGAAATCTCTCTATTCAATTTTTTTTTCAATAAATGAAGAGCCACAGTTGATGAGATTCGAAAGATAAGCTTCAACCGCCAATTTCTCATTCGAGTCACTGATTGACTGACTGACTGACTGACTGACTGACTGACTGACTGACTGACTGACTGACTGACTGACTGACTGACTGACTGACTGACTGACTGACTGACTGACTGACTGACTGACTGATTTGACAATATAGAAGTTCACACAAAAAGGAATCAATTCAAGTTGTCATGCTATGGGAAATTATGAGCAACAGTGGAGAAAAGAAGTGTAATGGAAACTGAAGTCAACGAGTGACGAAACTCCTTGCAAATCAACACATTTGATCAACACCTCCCACAACATCTCAACTGATTCTTTCAAAGTAATTTACAAAGTCAACAAAAACCTACCAAAAGCAGTATGTTTCCGACTTCTCTGTACTGCAGAAGCCCTCGCAATCTGCATCGAGAAGCCGGAGTTGTGTGTTCAAAAGAAATTAGTCCAACCTCTACAACTACCATGGACCTAGTTCGGTGTGTTACCTTAGCTTCCGTTGTTTTTTCTTTCATTCTCTTTTTTCTTGTTGATCTTTTTTCGTTCGCTGTGTGATTCTTACTCCCTCTGTTTTCATTCGATTCATCCCATTTTTTTCAGTTACAAAAAAAACAGTTATTTTAAGTTTGTTTCCATACTTAAAAATTAATCTGATACTCACGAGCAACTGGCTATATACAGGAAGTTCTCTACTCAGAAGTCATGATCAGTGGAGTCCAACCAAGTCAGATACGAGAACACCTTGTCAATGACATTGGCAGGCGGTTGCGATAAATATATCGTTAACTGGAAGAAGTTAGAATTAATGAACTACTGGGCCGGGTACCAGTGTTGAGTGGTCCACGAGGTCGTCTTGTAACCGGAAAGTCCTAGGCTCGAACCCTCACTGGTGCGTACTGATGAAGAGTCCCAAACTGGGACGAAACAGATGCCCAGTACTCTTCGATTTTCAAGCTGTTCTCTCTAAATGATGTCAAACCTGTAACCAATCAAATCCTCTTAAACTACCACTTGAAAATCAATGGAAACTAGATTGGATCAAGATGTACAATAAGATTATAATACGAAGATATACACATATACATACATATACTTACCACTAGGAACCACTGAAAGTGGTTCAGATGCTGATGTAGTAACAACTAAACTTCCATCAGGATTATACCGCTTCGGTATAGCCAAACTCACTCGAATAGGTTTATAGCCTAGACCACAATAATTTTGCATTTCAATCAGTGCTTTATCCATATCCGCTTCAGTTAAGAATCGTACAAATCCATATCCACGAGATTTTCCATTTGTCATAACAACTGTTAATTTTTGAAAGAGAGAGAAAGAAAGAAAGCAAAAGACATGAATAAACAGATTTTTTTTTCCCTTCACGTTCCCCAGTGGAACATAGGGCTCCAAGCTAGTGGCTTGAAGTTTCTGTAGCAGTGTTTATTTTACAGGATGGAGTTGCTAGCCTCATGTCCAAACTTTCCTCTTCACCAGCTTTAAGCTCTGGCTTAGCGAGGTAAAGGAGTGCGTCGGCCGAGGGTCGGACCCCGGACCATAAGCATGGTCGGCGAGCGTCCTAACCGCTATGCCACCGACGCACTGAATAAATTTATAACTACAATGAATTATATATTGAGATTACCTTTAGCTGATCGACAAGTGGGATATTTTTTAAAAGCATTGAATAAAGCAAGATCATCGACATCTTCGGTTAACTCGCCAACGAATAAGGAACATTCATTGCTATTTAAAAAAAATAAAATAGAAGTTAAACTAACAAAAATTATAAAGCGCATACCTAGATGTACTGTCTTTTCCATAACTTGCATGATTCAACTTGAATCTTTTTGTCTAAAAAAGAAAAGATTATTGATCAAAACAAAAAAAGTAGAATTTAATATATATTACCAAATAGAATAAGTTAATCACAGGTTAGAGGAGAATATTCTCAGTATTTTAAAAGGGTAGAAATTATAGGCAAATTGTCACCAACTTCGGGTATATATATCGGACAATACTTACTACTAACTAGTGCCACATATCTAGTCCTCTGTTAGGTGCAGACTGAATTCTAGCAGTCAGATTTTCAATGTGACCACCATTCTAGGTGACTCGCCATCACGGTGCACTCTGAGTTGTCATTATTATCAGATGGTTGGAGGCAATTGGCATGATGCCTTGGACTTAGGTTTCCTGCTTGTTGTCACTCGTCAACAAGGCGTATCCGCAGCCTTGAAGGAATTCATCTCTCTTTCTCATGATATCTGAACCATGTAACCCAGTGCTGCAGTCAGAAACGTTGCCACAGAGCTATTCGGGCTCGCGAGTGACCCCCTTTAGGACTATATATATATATATATATATATATATATATATATGCCGAGACCTGACTCCCTTTGTACCATTTGGCCTCATCTTGTAAATAATCAGAGCATTATTCGGCATGGTTAGCAAAAGGACAATGCGAGACAGTTACTAGCTCAATTTGTTTTTGATTATAGCTTCACTCCACACCGTATTTTCGGTACAAGTATTGAATTTTCAGCATGTGATATCGGTAGCCCAATTTTGCAGGCCAACCATTGATATCAAGTGTGCGTCGGTAGGGAATCGAACCCCGGACCATGTGTGCATGGTCGGCGAGGGTCTTTACCGCTGTGCCACCGACGCGGACTCTGTAAAAAGCCACATATATATGATCTTGGAAGGAATGTATCACAAAGATAATTCTTCGTTGACGATTTACCACAGGAATTAAAATTGTTCTTTTTTGGATTATGTTAATAATGTAATGCGAAACAGAAAGAATTAAAAAAGAACCAGCCTCGTCAATTCTCCTGAAAGCTCAGAGCTTGAAAAGAAATTTCTGTCAAATTCTAACTGTTATATTCACAACTTTTCCGAGTATTGTGCCTAATCAGTTTCAACTGAAGGTTTTATTATTTCTAGGTCTTAAATTTAGTGACTATAATTTTACTATCATACTCACTAAATTTAAGACCTGGAGATAACACCTTCAGTAAAACTGTGCGTCTGTGGCTCAGTGGTAGAGTGCTGGCTGACCATGCACGTGGTCCGCGGTTCGACTCCCGGATGGTGCACATCTTTACCTCACTTGACCGGTTATAATCCCGACAAAGAGGGGAGGTTGGACGTGGGGCTAGCAACCCCACCTCATAAAAAAACACCACTGCTACCGAAACTTCAAAGCTAAAGCTTGAAGTCCCATGTTCCACTGGGAACGCAAAGGAATAAAAATAAAACGATTAAAATGATAGTAAAATTAGTCAAATAGACACTGATGTCGGCATGAAAATTTGACCTAATTTCATCATCGGACGATGAGCTAGCAAGATGCAAAGCTACATTAGTCAGCAGTAAACCTATATGTTTGTCATTTTCAAAGTCGGCGAATAATTGGGGTTCAAACGAAGGATAAGCTACAGGATTTCATCATGACCTGACATTAGTTAGAGAACCATTGGAAAACCTGCAAGGAGTACTGGACAGCTGTTTCCTCCACCCTAGTTTGGGACTCTCCAGCGGTGCGCACCTAACACAGGGGTTCGAACTCACGACCTTCTGGTTACAAGGCGAGCTACCTTGTAAACCACTAAGCCACTGGGACCCAATCCAATGGCCAGCCCATGAATTCCAACTTCTGCCAATTCACGATATAGCACAACCGCTAGCCAAAGTCTTCGGCGAGTATTTGTCCTCAGCCCCGACCTGCTGCACCCTACTGGTCACGACTTCCCACTAGGACGAAACAGCTGTCCAGTACTCCCAGGTTTTCCAATGGTTCTCTAACCAATGTCAGCTCATGATGAAATCCTGTAACTAATCAACCAAATCCCTACAAACCAATACTTGAAGGATAAGCTAGATAGTTTTGCCACATCTATGTGCGTTTACCGATTCAACTGCTCCTGTGGAGACAGTTATGCTGGGCGTACTCCTAGATAGCTTAGCCAACTTGTTACTGAACATTTTCGCCTGTTTAGTTACAGGATAGATGAAGAACATCTGAAGCTCCGTTTCGTCATATTTAGTTGATAGTGGTCATTTATTGGAAAAAAATGAAGGCATTTAAGATAATGCATAGCATCCCACCGAATCTTTCTAATGGACTCTGTATTGGCCTACTGCATACAGCTGAGGTAATTGGTATTCGAACTATTAAGCCTAAACTATGCATTTAGCAGAAGTTCGTAGAGCCATTATCCCTTCCTTAGCTAATTAAAACCTAGTTAACTGATATATATATATATATATATATATATATATATATATATATATATCAGATGCCTTCAACTTGTGTAGTTTATGAGACTGAGATATAAAATCACTCCATAAATAAATAAGCAACAACTGATGATGGACCAACAAGAGTAAGATTATCAATGTCATGCTTTTGAACAGACCAATCATAATACGAACAAAACTTAGTGTAAACTATTCAGTAATTGAGCAAATAATATCCTTTTCGATAAATTCCTCTTTTGCCTCTACAATTATATATATGTTTATATACATAGAATATTCTAGATTAGTAGTCATTTCTAGACGTCCTTATGACCAGAAAAGAGGATGGCGCAATAAGAAGTGTACAAAGAAAACCTACATCAACGGGTCAGCATACTCATTTTCTCAGCTTCGAGCCATTGAAATACAAACACAATCTGATAAAGTGCTTGGTTCACAGAGCAAGAGAAATCTGCTAGGATGAATGTCTTGATGAGGAACGTAACAATATTAAACGGTTGCTAAGTGAAAATGGTTATCCTGAAAAGTTTATTGATAAGAATATGAATCTAAAATCAAAGCAGCCCAAGGTAACAACAGTTCCTAAAAAAGGCCTTATTCTTACAAATGCAGTTCCCTCAGGTATAACATCAGCGAGATACTAACACAGAGGCTTGAAAATGCGGTAAAAAGATCATTCCCTGCTGCCAAATTACGCTGTGTCTTCAAAATCACTCCTCTTTTGCGTTCGGGAATAAAAGATAAACTGCATAATTTCGCCTCTTCCATGTGTATCTACCACTTTAACTGCTCCTGTGGAATAAGCCAGTTACACAGACCGTACAATTAGGCGCGTTTCCCGTCAGATTTCCGAACATCACTCTGATTAGTGGTGGTTAAGTAAAGGGCAAACAAAATCTATTCGTAGCGTTATTCTATCTCATCTTGTGGATACAGAACACAAAATTGTTGTTAACTAGGCTTTCAAAGTCATTTACCACATACCAACAAATCTTAACTTCTCCTTAAGAGTTCGACTACTAAATATTACTGAGGCCATTGTGATCCACATTAAGAAGCTGGTTCAGGCATTATCCTTACCTCGGCCATCTAGGTTTGAATGATCCTGAATTTTTGTGGAATTTTCCTAATTTCAGTTGATATTCTATTTGCTACTATATCTTTATTATTATTATAATTTATTCATCTTTAGTGAACTATAATTCCATTGATCTTACTTGACAAATCGATATTATTTTTACAAAAACTGATATCAGTCCGTGATCAACTCGTAAAACATAACTAATCCTTACAAACCAAACTATAGAAAATTATTCTGATGCTCGCTAGTGACTTGCTACAGGTTGGAGCTTCCTGGAGTTCTAGTGAGAAGCCGTGACCAGTGAGGTCCAATTAGAAGTCACGTGTGTGGATGGATGTCCCACCAACGACAATAGTTGGGGTCGCGCTAAAATCACGAATTGGTAGAAGTTAGAATTCATGAGCCATTGAATCGGGTCCCAGTGGCTGAATGGTATACGAGCCAGCTTGCCTTGTAAGCAGAAGGTCCTGGGTTCGAATCCCAGTGGGTGTGTATTGCCGATGATTCCCAAACTAGGATGAAACAGCAGCTGTCCAGTACTCCCTGGTTTTCAATGGTTCTCTAACTGATATTGTGGTGAGAGATGGTCGCTAGCCAAATTGGTTGACAGTAATTGAGGTCAAAGGTCAAGATGGACAGGCGGATACAGTTAACATATAGATGAACTGACACAGCCACAAGATATGCAAGGTTAACTTTGCGTGAGAAACAACCAATCAACAGACTGTATTTCCTACTAACATTAACCTACAATAATGTACATCAAAATCTATAAATACGTGTTGATTTTCCGAAATAAACGTTCTGTTGCCTGGCCCTTGTCTTCTGTTGTTACAATATCAGTCCGTGATCAACTCATAAAACATAACTAATCCTTACAAACCAAACTATAGAAAAAAACGCTAATATTGTTATTGACTACTATTCTAGAATATTCTATGTATATAAACATATATATGTAATTGTAGAGCCAGAAGAGGCATTTATCGAAAAGGATATTCTTTGCTCAATCACTTTGTGTTTTATAGCTGTCTGAATGAATATTTTTGCTATATTCAGTAATTAGTGTAATGAATAAAAACTATGAATCAGATGCCAGTGTAAGTAATAAATCACTGATCAAGAATCATTGTATTATACTGTATACAGTACTACACGGCTATATCCAAACAAGAATATATGGATTGGGATTTAAAACTTTAGTACTTCAGATATCGAATCATACACTTACTGCTTAGTTATAAAAACCTCCTTCTGATGAACACAACCATCCCTTAAAAACACAACTTTGAGGAATCTGAAGCTGTTAACAACATTAGTCCCATTTATCTCACTAACTCGATACGAAATGTTTGAAAAGCCATAACAGAAGCATACTTTAAAAAAGAAGTACAGAATGCAAATAAATGTATAAAGCTGATGAGATTCAATGGAAAACATTAGAACGCCAAGTTAATTTGGATTTTTTTTTAAAGAAAGAAAAACACTTACCGGTGCCCCAGGAATCAGTTTACCATTCAATTTAAGCATTGCATCTCTTGCAGCTGTAGAATCAAGAAATTCAATGAAACCATAACCAAGAGTTTGACCAGTTGCCTTATTTCTGATAACTTTTACACTGACTATAATTTCACCGGATGTTTCAAAAGCTCTTTTAATAAACATTTCATCCATGTAGGGTTCTAACTATAAAAGTGGACAGTTGTGAGAGGAAAAACTAAATGAAACATACATCACCCATCCATATTGTATGTGAAAAGTTCTGCATGTTCTATAGAAAGTACACCTTTCTTTGCACCAGAGAAAACTTTATTTGAAAGGTTTGAAGAAGGTTGGAAGTAGGGGTATCAACTTGAATGTTTCGAATCTAAAAACAGAAATATAGAAATAGATGGATAATATAGTAGGCAAAACAAAATCCATCGATTGATTGGACCAAAGTGCTCGGTCTCAGGTTGACATGTCGGTTTCTTGTGCAGATGCTTCGACGATGTCTGGGCATTTAATTAGAATTTAATTGGTGGATGGTGACTAGCAGTGGAATCCAGGATGCGCGTTCTCGTCTTATTTGGGACTCGTCCTCTGGATGTACCTGCATTTCCCAGTGAGTGATATTCCCGTTGCACAAGAGGTGGCTCTCGTGGCCAAAGTGGTCTAGTGGATAACGCTTTGTCAGAAAGTGGGATTATTATTTTATGGAAATCAAAAGGTGTACCACAAAAAGAAAGATCAGAGGAATAGCAGCTGCACTGAATGCAATTGCAGTCAAAGTGCAAATTCCTAATATCATGATAAGGGGTTTGGGGGAGAAGTTATACCGATGATGGATAGACTTGGTGACCAACAAGCAAACCATGGTGTCTTCCAGCTCTGGTAAGGGATTTGAAAAGATCTGGTCTTTAATTAACACAGTCTTTCCATATGCAAAAAGTCCTCAAACTTCGTCTTGACGTCGAACAACAATTTTCCTGGACTTTGTGGTCACGAATTAATAAATCCTCTCTTATTTCATCTAATTTAAGCAACCAACAAAACGCCCAATAGCACACAAAGCTCCCCTTTTTATCACTTACCCTCTTCCTTTTCATTCACCCACTTCCCTCAAACTTTACCATATACCACGGTTAATACTATTTATCACGTAGTTTTTTCATCTCTTAATCGGAATTGCTGCTAGTGAAATGGGGCAATAAAACCATGCTGCTACTTTTATATTAGAGCTTTCAACATCTGAACTCTGCGCTAAGCAAGAACGATGGACAGCTGCTACCTTGACGTGGTGGTCGGGCTTGCACATCGCGATGACCCAACAAGCTACACTGGCCGGAACCAATGTTCCTGCAGGTCCTACCATGCCAGGAAGGTTGTTAGGATAGCGATTAGACTAAAAGCAGTTACCGGCATTGTGTAAGAATCTTTCTTACACTATGCTGGGGGTCTGAAGGCGAAGTCGTACTGCTGGGGAACAGAGATGTAACAGCAGTAAGGTGTTTCCCTCAGATGACCAGCATACCAGCTATGTTCTCTCCACTCTGGAGAGAGGGGGTTAGGAAAGGTCGGCCTCAAAAATTGTACATCCCGACTTACCCTACGGCGGTCCGTAACCGGCAGTAATACTAATACGGAACCAAACCAAGAAACCAGTTCATACAGGTCGTGTGTGACCGGCCTCAATCAGTTGTTCCCTGGGCTCTGTGGTCACGCAACACTAACCCTCTCTGTTTCAGGTACCCGAAGAATCAAGCAACTTCCACGGTGTGGGCAGCCGGGAAGTAACAACCACCCGCACACTTCCAAAAGCACATGAAGCCTTCCTGAGCTAAGCAAGGAAAACCGTCTCACTAGCCTAAAAGATTGGTAACTCCCATTATAGACGCACATAAAAGATACAAATCTATTCACCCAACAGGTATTAGAACATCCTATGACCACTCCATGAAAAATCGCTGGTGTAGTGGTACTAATTAGATCAGACGCAAGAAATTCACTACTCGACTACATCCCGGTGGATAGACATCCATGTGCCGTCTGGCTGAGTGAACCCCTAAAACTAAAGATAGTGCTATTCGTTGGCGCTCTTCCGTAATCGCCGCTTGCATACCAACTATTTGCTACTTGAATGAAGTAAAAGACGATGTTTATCAAAAGCTATGTATTTTGCAGCTAAATGCAAAACACCCAAATGTAGTCACCTTAGTAGGTGATTCCAGTGATTAGGAAGGGAAGCTGAACAAATCTGAAAAGCACTTTTAGACCTGTGTGGATTCCCAAACCGATAACAGCGACTGTCTAGAGAAATTCCATTCATATAATCATCTGTCTCTAACAAGCACTTATTTTAGGTCTGGAGAGACGTCTCACCTGGTAATCCTCCAAACAACAACCTCACGATGGACACAAATATATCTAATTTAGCGATGGGGAGGATTAGTAGGAAATATATCCTCCTTAAGGAAAACTTGAGTGGATTCAGACAATGGGTTAGTCTTACAAATGTACGTCTACAACTGAACGCACGTAGGAAACAAGCAGTTGCGAAGTCTTGATGTGTCCAGCTTTCTTATGGTAATATAAAGTATATATTTAAGCAGGAAATAACTAAACATTTATCGCAGTGTGACACCAATACTCATCCTGTAAAAGCTCCGTGTCTCATAAAGTTGGCAATAGAAATACAGGTAAATGCCGAACAGCAGATTCCAAAAGTAGTGACGAGCAAAGACTTCTCAAAAGTAGGCTAATTAAAAGTTCTTGCATTGACAACAGACAATGATTTGTGACCAAAACGAAGGAAAAATGGAAAACACATCAGCAGTAGGCAACATCGTCAAGTAATCGTGTTTATTGAGGAAAAAGGTATTCAAAAAAGCTATGATAAGTGAAACAACCTCCGAGAAAGCTGGAACTATTCGAACACTGAGTAGAACAATTTATAAACCAGTTCAACTGGCCTAAAGCTGTACTGGTTGTCTGTCATCCTGCGGAAGCGTAAATGGGATGTCGATACTGGTCCTCCAATTATAGCCTAGGTTGCAAAAGCTGTGCCCTATATAACTTGAGGCAAAGTGTCAGGGAACAGTGGTTCAACTTCAGAGGTGTTTAAAAATTGTAGTAAAAGACTTTTAACCGGATTAACTGAAATACTAGCTAGCGTTTTGTGATCCAAGACAGTTCTATTGGACTTATGTGCAGATCGTTGGTCATCCCACTTTATAAGAAAGGATATAATTTGTCCTGTAAAAACCGATAGCTGCTCAGGTAAAGCAAAATTGGAAGAACCAAATAGGTTCTCGGCATGGCCGAGGATAAACTGATCATACCTTAACTGCTCAACAGGTTTCGGAATACATGCATACTTGTCGGTGTCAAAAACGCCATATTGTTTTACCTGAAAACATCACACGACTTTTTCGACCAGTTTTGAGAAAACATTTGACTGTGAAGACTGCCGACAAAGATACATTAAGCTGATTGTGGTATTCTACTCAAACACATACTTCCTTTTAAGATCTTATGGAGAATCCCTGTCTTAAGTTACAATAAACAGAGGTGTCTATCACGGATGCCTAATGTCACCGTTCCTATTTAAATGCTTTGTAGATATACAAATATTTGCAACTGATCGACCTCATCGTTTTATGATTTAACCAGTTACCCCTGAAATAGGTACATTTTCATAGAAACTTCACCTTGAATACATAGGCGATAAAGTTCCTTTAGGTAAGATCCGTGACAAAACACAGTCTTCGAAAGACCCTGAGAAAAGTCGGAGTTGATCTGTGATGCGATTTCCTGCCATAACATTTAAGATGAGGTTACAGGACCGATCTGCGCCAACTCCTAGTTTCCGGAATAGAAGTGTAACAGTTGAGAGTTTACTACCTCACTTATGTGAGTAATGACATCATCTTTAGTCGTATAGTTTCTGATCTCCAAGTTAAAGAATTCATAATAAATTGCCCAGGTAAACAGGCTAATAGGAGTAGTGACGCAATAGTTGCTGACTGTAACTCTCTTCAAGGCAGTTATCTGGTAAAAGCTCAGAACTGCTGGTTCCTGTAAGCTACTATTATCAATACTTTATGAAATAGGCTGATGCCAAAGCGCTATAGCCTGAACATGAACTATCAGTACTGGGCATGATCTTCAAGCATCAGAACAAGGATGTATTTTCTCGAACCCTTCACCCTTAAGAAGTGGCGTTTAGATTTGGAACATTACTTATGAATCAACATCCACTCAACGTAATACTTACAATGCAATAATTTTAGCACCCACGTTGATAAATACTGAATGCAATTTAAAGAGCCAAAAATGAATTAAGTAGTATACTTTATTTTGCACCATAAAGACCCCAACATGTCCAGTTGGTCAGACAACATGATATAAAGGCTACTAAGGAAGACAACATGCTTACGGGATCGGTTTGCAGAAGGTGTTAAAACTAAGTACTGAGAAATTTGGAACCTTTTGAGACTAATTTACACACGTCATATGAAATACGAAAAACGGTTGATGTATGACTGCTTAGACTGTCGTAATAAACTATGCTAGCACATAAAGCGTACTATCAAAAGAACCAATGGAATCTGTTATATTGGTAGTGGTGTGTGAAAGCAGAAGTAAACACAGAAAAAGCGTTAAATCTGTCAGAATACTTTAGTAGGATATCTTCGTTCGATATGCAAATACAGTTGTTAATTGACGTCACTGCTCAAGTAACTAAAATGGCCTGTCTTGCTGGATAATGGTGTCCAGGATATAACTAACCTGAAGTTTAGTAAGTTACCGAACCCTGATATATTACATACTAAGCTATTACTCTTTCAGGTGGACATAATTTACACGAACCTTACGTAGATGTTTGATAAGTTTGTCTCAAACTAGTTTGTAGTGGCAGGCGGCTAGCGTTTTTCGCCTAGCTATTTTAGTGTGTATATAATCATCAAGATGGAGAATTCCTAAGGGGTAAATTACTGAGGCGTTTAGGAACAGCTTTTGGCGGAGCAGGAATTGTTTCCAATCAGATGGGTGAATGCAGGCTAGGAAAGCATAGCACTCGTTGGTTTGGAGTTTATTCGTTTGCATAACTGTATCGTTTTCTGATCAAACTATTGTCTTGAAACACTTTTACGACCGCGTTTGCACAAAACAGTACACGGATTTTTCAATTCTAGATGGAAAGATGCGAAATTCATTCAAAAGTTTATAAAAGTCTGGTGGTTAGATAAAGTTTATACATAGGCATACGAGGGTATATGAGATACAATGTCAACTGAAAACAAAAAACATTATCACAACAAGATCAACAGAGCAGAATACGAATAATGTGTCCAATGCAGAAGTTGGAATTACTAAGGAATGAGAGTGCAGATTTGAGGAGAATTGGAACACAAAGTTGACGAATATCAATCCAAGGACGAACGAGCCAATGACCAAACGGCCAGTTGCACCAACCCGGCCATTTTGAGAAAAAGAAGGTAAACAAAGTTAATTAACCATAATAAAGAGAAGTACCATATTTTCTTTTTCCTGCCCAATTTCAGCTTATCTTTGCGAATATGGGTTTCCTTTTACCTAGTTCCACTAATCTGATTTGATTGTGCGTCAGCTCATCCGGCCGTTCACTGTCTTGCATATATATATTTTTAACTGACAACTATACAGAAATAATACCACACTCCAGCCTAACCCGCATTAACCCACCACATTCGTAACCTCCACCAGCAAGTATTTTCTTCGGGTGCATTGCAGAATGTGGGACAGGTACCTGCAGTCTGCCCCCAAAATTCTGCAATGCATCCGAAGTCCACTGCTAAGTTTCTGCAACTGACCCTAATCTTGAAATACGCGCATACAGTTGTGCAGTGAACTCTAAGTCGATAGCCATCACAAATACATACCTATTATGTACACAGCTTGTCGAAACAAAACATACTCGCATCAACTCAAAGACTTATGATATTAAAAAGCAGTTGAATTTTATGAAACATATATTTACTCTTCATGCAAAATGTCTTTACAATGTTTGGACACATCATATAAATCACCAGAAGTATTCAGCCGTGTAGTTTCTGCATACTGTCTGTTCTCCTGGTTCTCATCGACGATGATCTGAAACTAAGTGAGATGAAGAACTGAGTCGATAGGTGATGTGGTCGGAGCTCAGGTCTAGCAGGATACATGGCCACACATCAGTCACAGGCGCTATTTCTAGTCAAGATCAACTAGAAGCGAGCTCTGAAGTCGTTGAAGCAGACTGACTAATTCGTTTCCTAAGGGTCCACTCAGTTGTATCAAATCTCGAGATTCTGTGAGTTTGCGTTGGGTTCAAATCAACATATCACGATTACTATTGTGCTCATCCGTCATCGCCTTTGAGAATGTACGATATCTCATCACTTAATATAGGGCCTCTTACTGTCCAACCATGTGATAATCAGTTGAAAGTGTCCACCATATTCACTATTAAAGATCCACTAGGACTCCCAACGCCTAAACGACTGCCTAGTTGAGCGCCAATCAACGTGACTTCATATACATTATTTAGCAGTGCATACACACTAACAGATTACTTCGGTCGTTCCACTCTAATATGTGACACCCTCAAATGTACCTTCGGCACATTCTATACATTACAGGGGCTATTAATATTAGCCAAATCAGCAAGACCATTATCTTTTCTCAATAATGGGTGCAACCATATTGAACTACCAGCGCCATTCTCGTCCTGACTTAGAATTTAATTTTACATATACTTTAATCCCGCAAGTAGATTGTATTCGCTTCTGTTCCATAAACTCCACTCTTTCTATTTTGGATACATTAAGAAAATCGAAGTGAACGAGAAAGAACTTCCCTCAGATTTCTGCGCATTCGGTGAATTGGTGTTTGGGAGCAGCGCGTACAAACAGATGTATACACAAGGCCACAAAAACGGATTTCAACCGACAGAAAAACCAAGAACAAGATAGAATTGACCTAAATGTTGATAGAAAAAGAAGGCACGGAGAGTGCTCGGTATCGATTTGCGGTAGCTATCGACTGCACAACTGTATGCGCGTATTTCAAGATTAGGGTCAGTTGCAGAAACTTAGCAGCGGACTTCGGATGCATCGCAGAATCTTTGGGGCAGACTGTAGGTACCTGTCCCACGTCCTGCAATGCACCCGAAAAAAATGCTAGCTAATTCAAAACGAATATATGCACAGAAACTGACCTAATCTGTCAAAAAAGAATGGCGATGAGGAAGTGGGCACATTTTATTCTGTAGACATGTCTCAGTTCCTCATAGCCGTTGATCTTTGACAGAATAAACCAGCAACTCATTTTGAGGGTTAACGATATGTTTCCTTAATGTCGTTAGGCCTGGAGTGTGGCGTGTGCTCTGTACACAGTCCTTTAACATGAACCATTTACGTGATATGTATCTATAGCATAAAAACAGGATTACCGTTATATCACAACCATTAAGAATAGATACATACTTCGCTAGTGTAACGCAAACACAAACGAATCTAGCGCGCTATCAATTTCACCTATATTAACGAGATAACACTGAATATTCTTTCATTACATCATACATATACATAAATTATATTACCACGGTTCAGTAGGATGTAGAATACAAAATATGACGTCAGGATTACATCTCCACTTTGTTCTGTTTGGCACTGTCTTCTTTAGCTGGACCCACGATTGCCCACAATCTCTCTTCTTCTCCATGTCACCCACGGTCGCCCCACTCCACATTTCTCATTCTTGTTCCACGCGAGGGCCTGCCGCGAGACGTTGTGCGACAGCCTCCTCAATGTATGCCCAATCCATCTTTATTATCTTCAACATGTTTATTGATCGATAGGTTCCTGGTTATTTTGTTCCATAGTTGCTTTTTGCTAATTCCTTCTGGCCATCTGGTCTTCATTATAGAACGAAGGCAGCTGTTTATAAAAGTCTGTCATTAGCTGCTGCAAATGACCCTCGTGACACTGGTGTCATGTTTGTGATCCGTAGAGAAGAACCGACTGACTTAATATATGTGTTGAAAATCCGGATTCAGTTCGTTTTCCTGGGTGCAGATATTTCCAAAATTATTTCGGATTTCAAGATTTCAGATTTAGATTTATTGGTTGAGGATAGAAGGCTTGGAGCCTATGTTAATCCTTTTCTAGTAAAATTCTGTGGTTGTCCAAACCCTTCTTGAACGAATCAACTGAGGTTGCAGACACCACTTCTTCTGGGAGTCGGTTCCAAGAGTTTATGACTCTGTGTGAGAACCAGTACTCAACAGCAATATGATTTCTTCTTGGCTTTTGAACTCTCCTGCTATGTCCTCTAAGGTGTTCCGACCTGGTGGGAAGGAAAAGAGAGAATAGGTCAGGTCCGTAGTCATTATTTAAAATTTTAAACATTGTGATTAAATCTCCTCTCTGCCTACGGTATGACAAGGAGAAGAGATTTAAACTGTCTAGTCTTTCCTCGTATGATAAGTTAGTCATGCCATGAATCATACGTGTTGCTTTCCTTTGAACCCTTTCTAGAATAAGTGAGTCCCCTTTTAGACAAGGGCTGGCGGCCTGGATGCAGTTTTCCAGTCTTGACCTCACCAGGGATGTATATAAGGAGGTGAACATATCTCTGGTGATTCTAGTGAAGGCTCTACGAATTGCCCATAATGACCTGAAACTACGTGCAGCCACCGCGCGACAGTGTGCTGTAGTTTTTAAGTCGTGGCTAACTATGACACCTAAGTCCAAGTAAGTCTGAACTGATGGAAGTGTAATTCCCTCTAGTTCATAAGAGCTCGTGCTTGCTTGTCCAATGCGCATGGTTGCACATTTTGTCACGTTTATCGGGAGCATCCATTCTGTGGACCACTCTGACAATTTGTTGAGGTCCTCTTGCAACGTGGACGTGTCATTGTTGCCCTTCAGCTCTCTCCAAATTTTTAAGTCATCTGCGTATAGGACCATAGGGTAATCGGTGAGCAGAGATAACTCATTGATATACAAAATAAATAGGAGAGGTCCAAGTACCGTGCCTTGTGGCACTCCGCTGCGTACTGCTGTCCAAGAGGAGAGTTTCGAGTTGATCCTAACCCTCTGCCTCCTATCTATGAGGAATTCCCTGAGCCAGTTTAGTAAGCTGCCTTTGATACCAAGACTTTCTAACTTCATGAGTAGCCTTTTGCGAGGTACTTTATCAAAGGCTTTGCTGAAGTCTATGAAGACGACGTCAACGGGCCTTCTGTTGTCCCTGGATTTAACCCAGCTTTCTCTTGCAGTGAGAAGATTTGACAGGCATGAGAGGTTCCTTCGGAAGCCATGCTGTGCTCTTGATAATAAGCTTCTATTTTCTAGATATACCATTATGCTTTTCTTGATGATTCTCTCCAGTGTCTTTATTAAAGTGCTGGTGAGACTGATAGGCCTGTAATTTGAAGGGCTTTGCCTTGATCCTCCTTTGTGGATGGGGGTTACTATGGCGTCTTTCCAGTCACGCGGTAACACTCCATTTTGGAGAGAAAGCTTGAAGATCGTAGTCAAAGGGCCGGCTATGTGTGCTGATAACTCTTTGAGAAGCCTTGGGTGAAGATTATCAGGACCCATTGATTTCCCTGCATCTAGTTTCCTTAGGCAGTTGAGCACGATGCCTTGGTCGATGTCAACGGAATCTGTCCCATGTTCCTCTGATGCAGCCAGAGCTGATCCCGTAGACAGTGACGACTCCTGAGTGAAGACTTGGGAGAAGTAGTTTGCCCTTGCTTCTGCTTTTTCTTGATCTTCTTCGATTGTGTCATTGTCAATAGTCAGGTTTGGGACACCATTGGGTGTTTTATTCCTGAAGTTCATGTATGAGAAAATTTTCTTAGGTTGTGCCTTTGCATTTTGAGCCAGGTGTGCTTCGAATTTCATCCTTGATTTGCGGATTTCTGCAATAGCTTCATTTCTAGCAGTGTTATATAATTGCCTGGTCTCAGAAGTCTCAAGTGTGGCAAACAAGTTCCAACATTTGTGTTTACGTCTAAGTAACTTACGAATCTCTCGGTTTATCCAAGGAGGGCAGTGTTTCCGACCCTTTGGGATAGACCAAGGGATGAAAGGTTCAGTTACTTGGGCATAAAGTTGTTTAAATTGGTTCCATGCGGCTTCTACTTGAGACTCTGGGTTGATGTACCAGTTTACTGAGTTGGCTGCTGAGACGATTGCATTTATATCAGCTTTCCAAACGTTTGGTCGAGATGGGGTTTCGGCCCTTGCTGCCGTTGCTGTGAACTTGAAAGTGAGCACAGCATGGTCACTTCTTTCTAAAGGAGGAAGATGTTGTATGAGATCTACATCCTCACCATGGGAGAACACTAGGTCCAGAGTTGAGGAGGAGTGCTGTGAGTCATAGCGCGTGGGCCTGATGATATGTTGGACTAGAGCTAACGATATACTAGATTCCAGCAGTTTATAATCAAAGGAGTTGACTGAGGATGGAGTTGTTAGGCTCGTCCAGTCAACTGTTGGGGCATTGAAAGTTCCTGATTATAGCCATAAACATCTACTGAAACACTCGTGAACGACAAATATGGACACAAGTGATAAAACGAAGCCCTACAGAAATCATTGAGACGCCACAAACAGGAGGATTTTAGGTGCACCCTATAATTTTCACATGAAACACATTCTCAAGCATCCTCCTGCACCATAAGTGCCTTCAGGCCTAGAGGCAGCTTTTGACGACTATTCTTAACAAAATCAATACAGTTCAAGCCAAACAGAAACCAGAATCACGTCAAATGCAGCTACCTAGATCTAACGAAACAAATCAGCCAAACTGAAATCAACTAGACCGCGCAAATGTCCTCAAGGTAAAGCTGGAGGCGCCACTTCAAACAGGGGATATGCCTTATCAACGCCCAGTTAGGACTGCGGTACATAGCGATGAGGTCAATGTCTATGCATTTAAGTCTGCAGCGTAGAAGTTCGCACGACTCACTTTCGTGAGCGAGTGCTTCGATACAACGCACGGTTAATCATTTCTTGAGGTAAATGACTACGCCACCTCCTTTGCGGTTTAGTCGGTCTACCCTATGCACTTCGAAGTTTGGCAGGTTAACTTCGCTGTCAGTGACATCGGGTTTGAGCCATGTCTCTGTGATAATAATTACAGCAATTAGTTTCTTTTATGAATTTTGGTAACACAATAAGAAGACGTAGTTTTTCCGAATTTGTTTCAAACTGACGTTATTTGTGGACTTTCTTTGTGTATTGGTAGTAACCAGCTGTGAATCTGACGGTAAACTGTTGTGTAACTAATCAGCTATATTGGTTTATACACCGTGAATCGACAAATATTCGACTTATCGTCTGTCTTCCATTTGCGTTGAAATCGAGTTGGTTATTATACCCATAAAATAGTATTCTGAATTTCGGGAAGTTGTCTCCTGGCTACAGAAAATTTTCCTGGTAGCGTTCCTCATATGCTTAACGAAACACACAAAGACTTTGCAAGCGACGGGCATGCCACTTCCTATCTGACAGCTTCAGAATTCATAGGCCTATTCAGTGAGTGAGCTTGGAGACAACACCTGTTGTTTGTTTTGCCTCTATTTATAGTTTCAAATAAAAAGGAAGCAGCAGTCAACACAAGAACCCTCAGATAAACATGAAGTTGCGTTTGCGTGATGTCTGACACAATAAATGAAATAAAGCCGACACGAACAGAAAATTCGAAAACAAGGACATAGCTTGCCATGATCTCACATTTGTTGGACATTTGGAGGCTGAAGGTATCGACGTTCGCGAATTGTATGGAGTATACTAACACAAGGTCTTATACCAACAACTTCTATAGTGTTCGCTCTTCGAGTACCAAAGATAAAGCAAAAGACCAGATTTAGTCGTCCAAAGTACGATATATATTTCGGGACCAAATCGTGAACCGTTTCGAGTGCTTGTCTAGCTAGTGCTCGTGCACGCACGTAACACGACGGAGTACCAAATGGTAAGGATGCTTGACCGTAAGCCTTCAGCTAAACAAGTCGATTTAAACAGTGAGGGTCAGCATCCAATGTTGAATGATGATCGCTGTGGTCAATAATTTTGGGGAATTATTTACCGCCACAGACACCATTTATACCATAGAGATTATACACCCATCTGGAAGGAATGCAGCGATATTTTATCCATAAAGATTATAGGTATCCACAATTCCCGTCAGAACAAGTCAAACTCTTGAAACCTCTCAAAATTTAGCACATACTCAGTGGTGAAGGGAATCCACTAATAAGGGCACCTCGGGCATACATATATATCCCATAGCCACACAGCGGATTTTTGTGGAATTCATAAGCATTGCAGACTTATCAAATGCCATATGAAATGGAATCACCGAACCCCCACTGTAAACGGGCCGCGGTATATATTTGGATAACCATCCATAAGCCATCATGGTAGGTTGCTTACTGTTTTCAGTGATGAAAGTGACCAGGAAGAACTTCAAGTACCAGTAAGTACCGAC